GGCTACACCCGCGCCTCCGAGTTCCCAGAGCCTCGTAAGTGCCCCCCCAACTCCTTCCCGGGGCGGCGGGGGGAGACCAACCGGGATTCGTGACGGTGCCCGGTCCTGCCGCCCGTTTCCCCCGCGCAGGGCCCGGTGTCTCCCGGAAGAAGCGGGTGTACGTGAAGCTGGTGCCGCCGGAGGCCGCCGGGACGGCCCTGCTCGCCCTCCAGCTGAGCCACAAGAGCAGAGCCCTCCCCCAGCACCTGAGAATAGGGTAGGGGGGCCCTGCCCGCCCCCTGCGCTCGCCGCTGCCCTGCGCGCCCGAACCCTCTCCAGTTCTTTATTGGGTTTTTTTCAGGGAAATTGGGAATTTCGCCCTCTGGTGTAAAAAAGGGCCAGTTCTGCACTCCAGGCCCCAGCCCGTCCCCAGCCCGCGGACGATCAGCGCCGGCCTGAAGCAGCTCTCGCTCCAGGCCCCTGACTCAGACCCCAGGTACAGACACACTCAAGGATTCTTATTTTTTTCCTCCCAGTCTTACCTGAACTGGGACTAAACCCCTGTGAGCGCTGGTGCCACCTCCTGCTTTCCCTTCCCCTGGCCTGGGGCTTGTTAGGAGCTGCATTAATTAATTAACTCTGCTCCAGGTCACCCAGTGCTCGCTCCAGCGTCAGACACGAAGCTCTCTACGACACTGCCAACATCTACGGCCTCTCGGGTAAATCCTTTCTCCATCTCCCATCAAATGCACAAAGCGAGGCTCACCCTACTTGAGGGGAACTTCAAAATAAAAATAAGCTCAGAGTTGGTTCCTACACAACTGTTGCTGCAGTTTTTCCCTTGAAAGACTCAACTCAAGCTGAGTTTTGAGAAGAGGGGTTTCTTAAAGACTTCGCCCTTCTGAAAGTTATCACTTGCTTGAATTAAGCTAGCACTGACCTCTTGCTCAAACTGTTCTCCAGGGGCTAAGGTGGCTCATCTTTAGGCAGCAATTATTAAATAATTGTGTTTTTAGAGCAGCTCCTGGCTCTTTCTAAAGCCTCTCTCCCTTCTCTTCCCAGCCATGGATGGAGTGCCTTTCACCCTACACCCCAAATTCGAAAGCAAGCTCAGTTCTGGCAGCAACGTGAGTTCCTTTAAGCTGCTGTTCCAGCCTTACCTCCTAACTAGTCTTAACTAGAAATATTTGTCTTTGTTTTAGGCTGTCCTTGCTGACCTGAATGTGAAGTCACTTGCTGACATCGAGGAGGAAGTAAGCGGGGCTGCCTTTGGTCAGGCTTTTGGGGTGCAGAGCGGTCAGGTTCTGCTTCTCACCACTTGTTTTTGGGTTTTTTTTTTTTCAGTACAATTACGCTTTTGTAGTTGAAAGGACAGCAGCTGCCAGGCTCCCGCCTGGTGTTTGTTAGTGCTGGATCTACCTTGAGGATGTAAACTGCAGCGGGGCCAAGCTCCTCTCTCTCTCTGATTAAACTGCAGTCGATGCCTGACTGCAGGAGCTGCTTAAGGAGAAAATAAACATGTTTCTCTTCTCACCTGCCAAAATATTTTTGTCATGGTTTTGAAATACAGGGCAGCAGCACAATGAAGTTCTTGGCTGGGGTGGTTCTCCTGCGCCTTGTCAACGCTACAGCTCTTTATTGTGAGTGTAACCTCCTGCGAGGGTGTTTTTGGGGTGTAGGAACTTCCCCCATCAGCCTCACCTCTTGGGTGTTGCTGTTCTTACTCCTACCCTTGGTCCCACTGTCTATTCCAAACAACGAACAATACTTTCAGCCCCACAAAGGAAGTTCCAAACACCTTTCAAAATACATCGATTCTGATTTTAGTTACCAAATTCTGTAAACGTTTCCTGAAACGTGAGGGCAGTACAAAACTCCCGTCGGTTGGTGGTACATCCTGGAAACATTAAAAAGTCAGGTCTTGTTTCACAGAGGTGATTTCCACATGTTTGGAAGAAAGCTTCCCCACGCCCGTTTTGGAACGGGATCAGAGTTACTGTCAGAAGAATTAAGGATGGTTCTTGTGATGGTGGAACGTGGCGCCAGGGCCTGTCCTTCGTGTAGCGCTGCCGGGGGCCAGGACCTTGCGCTCCATTTCAGGAAGGCACTTTAAGTTTTGCACTGCCCAGCAGAAACTGAAGAACTCGGTCCACTAACAAGGCGAGGAAGAAGTCAGCCAGCAACACTTCCGTGATCACCATCTTGAACTAGGAAAAAAACACACGCAACCCATTAGTCCCTCTCCTTCCCCTCTTCAGTCACTCTGTCCCCACCAAAGAGCCTCTCACTGGCCTCTGCAGCAACTCCTGAACTGGACCTTTTGAAGTTCCTTTCACAGCATGCTGTAACAATTGCTAAATGTAAGAAAATCACAGAAGCAGAGGCTGGGTTGGGTTGGAGGGACCTTTAAAGCTCATCTAGCTCAATCCTGCCCCATGCAGGGACCCATTCCCCCAGCTCAGGGTGCTCACAGGGCCGGGGCATCGCCTGCTGCTCTGGGCGGCCTGTGCCAGCGGCTCCTGCCCTCAGCACGGAGAATTCCTTCCTCAGATCTAGTCTAAATCTCCCATTTTTTAGCTTAAACCTGTCCCCCTTGTCCCACGGCTCCAGGCCTGGTGAAAAAGTCTGTCCCTGTCTTCATTAGAAGTCCCCTTTAAGTCCTGGTAGGCTGCTATTCTCCAGGCTGAACACCCCCAACTCCCCCAGCTCATCCTCACAGCAGAGGTGTCCATCCTCTGACCATTTCTGGGGCCTGCTCAAGCAGGTCCACGTCACAGAAATCACAGAACAGTTTGGGTTGGAAAGACCTTAAAGCCCATCCAGTGCAACCCCCTTGTCTCAGGCACAGCCACCTTCCACCAACCCAGGTTGCCCAAAGCCCTGTCCAACCTGGCCTTGAACCCTCCCAGATCAGCCCATCCTGCCTAGTGTTCTGCTAAAAACCGTAAGATGCCTCCAGAATTCCTCAGACTCCTCCCTGTGTGCAGAATCCAGCAGGCATGGGAAGCACTGCCTGCTCACCTCAGTGGGGATTTCGACCAAGCCAAACTGTTCGTTGAATTCCGGTGAAGAACTTGTGAGAAGGCCCCCGATGGCCAGGCCTGAGAGGATGATGCTCCACAGCAAGGGCTTGTTCTCCCGTAGACTCTCCATAAAAGGATGGCCCTGAAACACAGCAGGAGAAACTGTAAGCAGAGGTCCCGACTAGGGGACAATTCCTGACACGCTTTGGGACACTTGGCTCCATCCAACTTGGTGCAGAGAGAGGGAGTTTTTCCCGGCAGAGCACGGACAAAATGCAGTTTGTGATTAGAGAACATAGTGGTTGGTATTATTGCATCTTAATTACAAAACTGCCGTGGGAGATGCAACTTAAAACACGGCTTGCCTTGTAGTTGATGACAAAGGTGGCCATCTGCATTGCCATCGACATGATGTAGACGGTGCTGTTCACAAGGCTGGGCTCAAACTCCTTGTACAGATCCACAAACTCCTCCTGCCTAAAAGAAAACAAAGCCAGAGATCAGCGGGACCGACCCAGAACCACCAGGAAGGTTCAGCTGCCCTCACGCAGCCCTGCTGCCCCCACTTTATTTAAGGTTCGTTGGGCAATAAGCTTGTTCTCAAACAAGAGACCTTCCTTGCACAGCAGCTGCAGATGCTGCAAGTGCAGGTAATTGTTGGGCTTTTTTTCACAAAAGTGGAAAAAAAAATAGTTCTGGTGCATTTTTTCTTTCTAATTTTCCACTAATCCACTTCATTAGTGTTATTTCTGTCTCCCTTTTCCCTCTCAGCGTGGAGAGAGCAGACACGGGCAGCACAATGTTTCACAGACCGTATTCCCACTGGTCCCATCACATCCCTGACACGCTCCAGGTACAACTCAAACCTGTTTTTTGGACACATCTAACACATTTAACTCCTTGTGCTTGGCGTGCTCAATAAAGCACTCACAGAGTGCTGTGGTGAGGGAGGCCTCTCTCTCCCCTCCTGCTCGGCAGTAACTGGGAGAAAACATTCCAGTATTGGAGGAAGAGACACTCACTTGGAGTCGCTGCGTGCCTGGGCCCCACGGTACAGGTACACGAGGCTGAGGAAATGCACCAGGAACTGCAGCAGCACCGTCAGCACCGTGTAGAGGTTAAAGATGTTGGGCAGTGGGCGCTCCTTGGAAAGCGTCTTCAGAGGCTGAGGGAGAAAAATCATAGACTTGAGTTTTAACCAGTTTTCCAGCAGAATCCAACCACTATTTGTTTTTCTCAGGAAATAGCCACAAGAATTCCACTTTGCCCGTACAGGAGACTCGCAGCTCAGCTGCTGTAATGGCCTCAACTGAACTATTTATCTGCATTATCCTTCCCACCAGCTCCTGTAACAGCACCAAGCTGCCACCCTGCCATCACAAGATGCTCCCGTAAGCACGTGCTGGCCCCAGGAGCCTCCCAAACCCCCGGGAACACAAACCCCACCCCCTCCAGCACTGTGGACTGTTAACTTCTCAAAATAAACAGCTTTTTTTGGCGGGGGGGGGGGGGGGC